ATATTTGACAAGAGCGTCTACAAAACGTTGCTGTGTACGAATTGTGCGACTGCTGTCAAAATGCTCTTTGAGGAAATGACAAGTTTTCTCATCCCAGACACATCGCCGGTTATTGATCTTCCAACTTGACTGAATCGTCTCTGTCACATTTCCAAGGGATGCAATAAAAATGCTTTTCTCCGTTTTCTGCATACTGACACAATGAAATTATCTCTTCATTACTCATGACGTGCCATTACTCACATCATATATCATCGCAGATTTATTCCATGGCTTGACTGAAACATTCAGGGCGGGGGGCTTTCAACCGAACGGCGACGCATTGTGTTTGTCTTTTCCCCCCTAAAGCGCTCTTCGTACCTGAAACCTGATATTTTTTTTTTAACCATTCTTGGCAGGTTTGTGCTGAATAACAACACCTAAGATCAAGTTGTAGCATGTGATGCTTGTAAATGTTTGTGTGAACTTTTTACACCCGTTTTTTTAACACATCTCCGCGTAAACCTCGACAATTCATATCATCCAGAGAGACGAGATAATGCCGCATTGTACAGCAGACGGTACAACCTGCTTGCTCCGCGCACTAAATCACTTGACGGCTTCAACAGTTAATCAGGCTGCGCTCGAACTGACTATATAAGGCCTGGTTAAATGACAGGAAATGTATTTGTGTCATCACCTGGAGGTGCTGTTTAGTCTAAACTAATGGATGTGGAAAATGGAAGTTATTTTTGTCTGAACCACCTCTGAGTATTAAAAATTACACGCTTTGGGAAAACTGACAGAACATTTTTAGAGCACTACGGCATAGTGTGCCATTGTAATGCACCAGGAGCTTTAAAGTGGTGCTTCAGTTTTTAGCAGTCTATCTGATTCATCAGTAACTGCGAGTCCTTTGAGTCCTGCCAGAAATCCCTTTGCTTTCACAGTTATTTTATTTTTTTCTTGATAAGGGAGGTAGATTTTTGGTTTTTTTTTTAGCCGTAGTTATATATTTTTGTTTTTAAAAATATATATAAATGAAAAAAAATCACATGCAGTGCATTCCCAGGGCTGGGCACTTGAGTTGGCACTCAAGTTGCGCTCGAGGTGCTTAATCAGCTTACACTTTAAACTTGAGTGTGACTTTGTTGATTTCAGATGTGACTGTAATGACTTGAGGACAATATGAGGCATTTAGAAATTGTAAGGTCCTCGTGAACATTTCTGCCAAAGCTGAATAATTATTCTTACACATCACACTTCACACCTGTCTGCTGCTTAATTCCAACACCTCAGCAGCCTTGGGGGATTTTTTTTTTCAAGCTAAGATGTGAACATTAGCTGTAAAAGGAATTTAGTTCCTTTATTTTACCAAACTGTTAATGAAGACACAGGTTAAAGTGACGCATTCAAAAATATTTCTGTTAAAGTCCCTCTCCAGTCATTGATTCGATTCATAAAAGCTCGTCTTTAAGTATTAAAGTTACTTTTTGAGACGTATGATATCTTTGACAGATCTGCACCATTTATCAGAGTCAAAAAGGGTAAAAACAAAGAGAATCCTGTGATCTAATCTTTCTGACGGTACTTGAACTAATCACGTGCGAGGCACAATTCTATCAAGAAAAATAACCAAATCTTAGTTTCAAATCATGATGTTTCATCAAATGTGCTTTTTTCTACATGTCACATTTAATAATTTGCCAAAACTGTACTATTTACTCAAACCAGACCAAAACCTCTGTCTTCTTTGGCAACACTTACATTATTGATTCTGCTGCAGCAAACAGGTGGAAAACAAATGTAATTTTTTAAACTTATTTTTTGCTGAACTGGAATGCCCTGGGGCTGCAAGGTGGATCGGTGGTTAGCACTGTTGCCTCGCAGCTAGAAGGTCGCTGGTTCGCGTCCCGGTGAGGACACCTGGGATCTTTCTGTGTGGAGTTTGCATGTTCTCCCCGTGCAGTGTGGGTTCTCTCCGGGTTCTCGGGCTTCCTCCCACACAGTCCAAAAACATGTTGAGGTTAATTGGTGATTCTAAATTGTCCGTAGGTGTGAATGTGAGTGTGCTTGGTTGTCTGTCTCTAAGTGTAGCCCTGTGATAGACTGGTGACCTGTCCAGGGTGTCTCCTGCCTTCACCCTGAGTCAGCTGGGATAGACTCCAACCCCCTAGTGAGGATTAAGGGGTGTATAGATGATGGATGGATGGGTGGATGTGCTACACTGCAGGCTGTGTTTACACAGAGTTCACAGGAGGCAATTATGGAAACCAAATTATGGTAATTAAAGCGTAAGTAGTGAAATAACTGTAGTTTCAAGAGCCTTGTTGTTGTTGTTTTTTATCAGTATTGTGCATTTAAGAAAATGTTTGAGTGTTGATTCCAGATTTTGTCGATTTTTACTACATAAACATTCTTTTATGATTTATGACATCGTAGCTGTGTAGAAGTCATTTTTGAGTCGTCTCTACTTCCAGCCATGCTGTTTTCATCGAGGTGGAGGGCTTCCTATCGAGCTGCAATACTGAAACACAGAAAGCTCCACCCTGCAAGTCGGATTGATTCTTTAGTTTGTTGCATATTAAACACCGGAAGTCTCAATCTGTGCTTTTGAGACTGTTCCTGGTACACTGCAGCTTCAAAGTGAAAACAATCAGCCATGGTGTTGACTCACAATAGGTAGCTAGCACACAGAAAACACCATATGGACGAAGTACAAAGGAGTCTTTCATAAAAGAATAATTTACTGTAATAAGTGTTCACAGTGGAGACGACATTCCTCATTATGCACCACGGCCCTTAACATGTACGCAGCATTTTAATACTGTTGGTCAGTGTGGAGCTACTTTTATCCACTCGGTTCTCTGTTGGTTAGCTGCGTGTTGAAAAAGGCGACATATGCGGCAGGATTATCATCTGCATGTGGTGTGTAGTTTGCATCGCCGTGTGCGAGACGATGCCATGTGCTCATTTGTATGTCAGCGTGGAGTGTGTTGCGTATTAAAATGTGAGCGGTTTTCTGCAAATGTCTACTGGAATATAAAAAACTTTGCATATATATTCAAACAACCGGAAGAATTTACAGATTTGTAACACTAGAAATAGCACAGCAACTCAACTAGCATTGAATCAATCCCTCCCTCCCGAAAAACTTCCTATAAAGTTAAAATAAATTAAAAATGAAAGCAAACTTCCTCGTACCATTGAAGGCATTATGAGCTCAACCAACAATTACTCTTCTTTTTTTTTTTTTCACAGATTTCAATTATAGATTCCAGATATCCAGGAAATGATTAACCTGCAGAGAAATTTCTAAAAGTTGCCAAATTGTTTGTTGGAAACGAAACCCATCGAAACTTTATCGCGCTCAGATCGTGGGACTCAATCAGCATTCCGAATGTACAATAGGTGGGAGTTTAATGAGAAATTCTTTTCAGCCCAAATGGCTCACAATTGTATTGAAACCACAATAATGAATCCAAATTATTTCTGCCACTTAAGTCTCAAATGACTTCCAGTTCATTATAAAGTTGAGAAAAACCTGAGTTGTAACGGCTCCGTGTATACAGTCAGCACAACTTCATCTGCTGCGTTTTGTGATTGAAAAAACGGGGGGGAAAGCGTATGAAGTGGACAGGAGAGAGGGAGGAGAGAGGACAGGGAGAGCGGGCCAGGGGAGAATGTAATCTTGGTGAGTACGGTGACACAGGGGCCTCGGCTGCCAGATGGTGCTTTAGAAGGCTTAGCTAAGGCAGCTTTGGGTCTCCGCTCCCAAAGATCCACAAACCGACTCAATTCCTTTCTTCTCACACAAATGCACAAATGGCAGCAAAGCGCTTCCTCCTCTCCCGCTCGCTCGCACAAAGTCACATCAAACACGCGAGCTGTGATGTTGCGCTAAATAGTAAATGTAACCTAAATAGACCTGGCAATGTAGGCCAGGGGCCGCGCGGCGTTTGGCAAAAGCCGGCCTCGGAGTTCAGAAACATCAAATCGAGTCTGCGGGGAGTCGACGAGAGGCCAAAGAGGAGGGGCCGGCTCCAGATGACATTCGTGACAGCGGAGAACATCCTCTGCCCTGGGGTCCCGGCGGGACTTAGCCCTCCAGAAAAGACACTTTCGGAAAGTCGCTTATGAGATATTTTCCTGGAATCATCAGCTTTTGGTTACATAAGCGAGATATGAAGAGGAGAGCATTTCGTAGCCAGCGGAAGGGAGATCTGCGGGGATTTAGCGGGGGAAACGTAACAGGTAACAGGTATTTGGGCCAGGTATTAAAAATGCATTACTGTAGGTGAAATGGACCTAAAATAGCACAGAAATTAAGTATTTATGATAATTTAGGCATTTAAAGCCAAGTCCTATTAATGAAATGAGAGGAGAACACAGTAGAAAATGACTCAAGCATTCATACACAGAGTAATGGTGGCGGTGTGTAATGAGTTAGCTGTCATGATGGTGCAATTCTCTTCGGAGGGGATATTAACAAGTGGGCATAAAAACTGTTTGAATGAAAAATGAAGAATGTGTGCAAAATAATCTCGCTCTCGAAGGCTCGTCATGCTCATTAAAATGTTCTACTTTCCGTCTTGACGAGCCTGACAGATGTTCGGCGCTACCTGTACATGGTGGTTTTGTAATGGCCAGGAAGAGAAAAAAAAAGCCCACAGTTAGAAATATTCCATGAAAATAATTCAGGAGGGAAAAGGGGAGGGTATGGCTTGACTAGAAGAGCAGGGGAGGATCTTTTAATCTTTTCTCATCACAGATATATATTTTAAAGTTCCTCTCTGATTATGGATCAAACTAAAAACTCATCTTGATGTATCACAGTTATACATTTATCAGTGTTTCCCATGAAAATAATTCCCTCCGCCTTTAAAACTGCTGAGATGTAACTCGACACCAGTGCTTCCTTCCTTTATAACATGTGTAGTAATTCAGCCGCTCTCGTCCGATTTGAAAACCAATATCGAAGATGTCCTGATTGGTTCCTGAGGTTTGTGACATATGAAATACTGACTGATTGAACCCATGTTTCGAGACTTTCATTGCTGTTTGAAGGCTTGTTGTGTGACAAAAAACACCATATAGACATGTTGACAAGGTAGAAGATGGGCTTTTAACAGCCTTTAAGTTTACTGCATATATATATATTTTTAAAATCCCATCCATTATCTATACACCGCTTAATCCTCACTAGAGTCGTGGGGGGCTGGAGTCTATCCTAGCTGACTTAGGGCGAAGGCAGGGGACACCCTGGACAGGTCACCAGTCTATCACAGGGCTACACTTAGAGACAGACAACCAAGCACACTCACATTCACACCTACGGACAATTTAGAATCACCAATTAACCTCAACATGTCTTTGGACTGTGTGGGAGGAAGCCGGAGAACCTGGAGAGAACCCACGCTGCACGGGGAGAACATGAAAACTCCACGCCGAAAGATTCCGGGACGCAAACCGGCGACCTTCTTGCTGCGAGGCAACAGTGCTACCAACTGCGCCACCCTGCAGCCATTTTTTAAATCTGTTACATCAAAAAAAAGTGTGGTTAATTGGGGTGCTCTTTGGCCATAAGTACAGTTCAGTCTCTGCATCAGGGTTTATTTTCTCCATCAAAATTAGCATCCTCTTCTGTTCGCTCATTTGGCGGCTATTAAAAAAAAGCTGTTGTGTTTTATTGCGGTGCTTTTGAAAGTTAAAAGTGGCTGTATTTTTTGATATATTTGCCATAATTGGTGTCCGATTAAAGGAAAAACCAACAGAATATTGTTCTCTTGTGTGTTGTTTCCCCGGTTCCCTGTCCTCCCTCACCTTTAACTTCACTCCAACTGGTTGAGAAAAGCGGCTACCATCCTTGAACCTGGTTCTGCTGGATTTTTTGTTTTCTTGCTAAAAGGGAGTTTTTTTTTCTTCCCACTGTCGCCAGTGTGCTCACTCAAAGAGAATCCTTCTCTCTTTATTATCATCTACATAGCACTTAACCTCGCTATGTGAAGCAGCCTGAGATGACCTTTGTTGTGGGTTATAAATGAGGCTGAAGTGGTTAAAGTGTCTTGGTGAGGCCACCACATGTTACCAGAACGGCTTCAATGCTGCTTGGCACTGCTGCTCTCTGAACCTCTGCTGGAGGGATGTTAACCATTTTTCCAAAAGATGTTCCCTCATTTGGTGTTTTGATGACGGTGGTGGCAGCTGATGTCTAACACATCGGTCTAAAATTAAAGCGTGTGTTCAACTGGGTCGAGATCCGATGACTGTCAAGGCCACGGCATATGACTAACGACGCTTCAGTCCTGGAGGAGACCGTCAGGATAGAAATGTTTCATCGTAGGGTCACGGTAAAAAATCAGAACAACTTGTACTGATTTGCAGAGACGCTTCCCTCTAAAGCAGCGGTCCCCAACCACCGGGCCGCGGACCGGTACCGGGCCACACAGAAAGAAACAAAACATTTTATTGGTTTATTTTTATTTCCAGCCGAGTCTGCAGGGTGTTTTATTTTAAAAAAACGACTAGCTTGTCTTCCTATCGCATCCGCTTGTTTCTCGCACTTGACTCAGTTTTTATCCGTTAAATGAAGCTGTCAGTCTAACAGTTGCCGAAATTAATAAAAAAACAAACATTTCAGCTTCTTTGGAACGTGGGAGAGACTCGATACTGAGACGGAAGAAAAAGTAAAAATGTATTTAGCAAGTAGTTTTATTCATTTATGAAACTTTTTAATAGAAAAAACAATTATTTTTTGTTATCGTCCCTAGAAAATTTTCTTGCTTAAAACCGGTCTGTGGTACAAAAAAGGTTGGTGACCGCTGCTCTAAACTCGCTGTAGGGGTGAGTTCTGGTCCGGATCTTACTTGTTTCTAAGAGTACACCCATTTAAAACCAGCTAAACGTGTTTGTTATCTCTCTAACTTTGCCACCTAGCTGCAGACTGCCTGCAGACAATCTGAAAAAGGCCGGCCTCACATTTCAATTCACGCGAGGTACGTGCAGCTTTTTGGTAAACCAAAGCTTACAGCAAACGTGAAGCAGCAAACATAAGAAATGACTGGTTGTCTGGTTAACAGGTGGCCTCCATAAGCCAAAGTTAAATTCAAATTTTCTTGTTCTGTTGTCCGACAACTGAGATAGTATATGGGAACAAATAAACTGTTTTACATGTGATCACAGTGAGCAGCAGGCGTTTTTCCTTTAATATGCCACCCATCTGTAGGCTGTGTCGCTTTAAGATGCTTCCAGAAGAGCCTCGCCGATGTTTCTCCAAAGTCAAGACTGGAGGATCAAATGAAATGATCAAGAATGCTGGGGCTTGCTTTTTAATAAAAATAAAAGATTCAAGCACCCCCCCTTCCCGCTAATTTCCAAACAGCGGAGTGTGGAAGCAGAAAACACACAATGTATAGCTTCTTTAATAAGAAGAGACCGCCACATTTGATGTGAAGCAGCCCATAAAAACATGAGCCACAACAATATTAAAGCGTAATATTTCAGCAGTTTCTCTCCTCTCCTTCCCCTTCCCTGTGTTTGCTCACGCCCCTCCCTCCTCGCTCTTTTTTCCCCCCTCTCTTCATTATTGTGCCCAGCGCTCTAGCACAGAGTTAATTTCACTTATTACAGGGAAGCCGTATAAAATCCATAGAGCCTGACCTCAACAATATCTAACCTGCCTGTCTAACAGAGGAATGTGACCGTTTTAGAGAACATTTAACACTACTGTTGGACCAAGCCCAGCGAAAAGAAAGAAAAAAAAAACGAACCCACATCATCCACCCCACTCTAAAAATAAAAGATTAATAATTTCCCCCAGGATAGCTTTTCATCTATCTCACTTCTTAATTGACTTGCATTAAATTGCCACAAAGTTTATTCCACTGCTGTGCTTCGATGAAATAAATAATTAACCCCATAAAAAGGTCAGACAACTGAAATTAGAACTAACTGGTTTTTTTGTTCTTCTTTTTGTGGTAATGAGATGGGACCCTGCCCTAGCTGACCATCTGACTCTCTGTAATAATTTGTCTTTGTCTTGACAGAGTTCCTGAGCGAGAGATAGCGAATTATCTCATCAGACGTTCTGAGGCCCCGATACGACTCCCTTCGCCGGGCCGGTCGCTGATGAAGTCGGCGTGAGGGATGGTATCATCGATAATAACAATGGCGAACATGTGACAACGGGGACTAATATTGCTAATGATCATGGCGACGATGATGATGATGCCGAGGAAGATGACGGCACTGATAGCGGCGCTGGTGGCGATGGAAATGACAAAGATAATGACGATAACATCAGTAATAACAGTGATAACAATGATGATGAAAACAGCAGCGATGGCGGCAGAAACACTGATAATTACATTGATGACAGTGGGTTCTGAGACAGCAATTAGAATAAAAACAGCCATTGATTCATCTCTGCAGACACGGGGATAAACGGTGGGCTTTCCATTTAACAAAGTGACACAATCATGTTGTCCAATTAAAGCAAGAAAATACAAATGAAGAAACCGAGCGCTCTAAGAGCTTTTCCCCCTCCTACAGAACCCAGTCGATTTTCATACAGCGCCTGATAATTAGCAGCTATGCGTCATCTGGCTTTTTTTTTTTTTTTTTCGTAGCGGCAGACGCGCCCGGCGTGCGCGGAGCTGGGACGTGTTTATGTACGTGAAGGTGTAGATTTATGTGCATATTTGTGTAATTGCTTGTTTGTACCCCCATCTCCAAAAACAACTCGGGAGCAACTACACAATCATGTTTAGGCTGCAGGTGATTCTGAAAGTAGCATTTCCCTGGAGAAGACATGAAACCTCCTGAGTCCCGCTCCTCAGCAAGAGGCTTACCATCACTCAAACGCTTCACTGCAGGGGCCTGCGCTCAAATTACATTTTTAGGAGAGCGTGCTTCTTTGGTCCTTCGCTTTTTAAATGATCTGTTACAAACTTATAATTAATCAGCTGCCAAGAAGACATGAGCTGCCCGACCAAACTTTTTTTGATCTTAATGAATTTTGGCTGCTTTGCAGGATGAGGCAAAAGGAGGCCAGTGCAGGTTTGCCTGATGTTAGCCTGTAGTGGAATAGAAGCTAGCTGAGCTCAGCTCATCTCTCCTGAGAGCACAGCAGTGTCCTGATCCCTCCTGACCTTGTCACTGCTGCAGGGTGCCCGGTCATTACCACTGCTGCCACGGAGCTGTGCAGGTGTTTGTGTGTTTGTGTATATGGTGCATGTCATACGTGCACGTGTGTTCATGCATGCATAAGTATGCACATGAGTGTCTGCCAGAGCTGTGGAGCAGCAGCAGTGGCTTGGCATCATGTGAGTTATTGGCCTTAGTGGAAATTTGCATCACCAGGAAGAGGGCGTGACAAGGTGTTTGAGACTCAGGAGGTGAAACGCCACAATGGCCATTACGGTGATTAGTGAGCACATTCATCTTTTACAAGCCTCACGATTCTCCCGCTCCATCCTCCTCGCTCTCTCTCCTATATGTGAACACACACTGCATCTCCCTCAACCCCAAAACAATCACAACAAGCACACACAGCGTATGAAGGAGGAGTTTCGCTTGCACACACATGCATACACTATATTTCCTCTGACTCTGACACTAAAACAGGAGAAAGAGCCTGGGCTTGACAGCAAACAAACTAACATGAAGAGATTCCTGGCAGGCTAAAGAGAGAGTGGTATCAAAGCTACAGGAATGCACCACCAGCAGCCCATTTTTTTTCACTGAGAGAGGGAGAGAGAGTGAGTATGCGCAGTGTAGCAGACCTGAGCTGCTGGTAATTAGAATGGGCTCTGAGGAGAGACAGGCAGTAGAATGAATGCAAATGAATTCACTGGCTCTGGCACTGGGCTCCACAACCTCACTTTTCATATAGCATGCCTTACAGACATGAAGCTGCTGGCACAAACAGAGCAGGGCTACACAGTAAACACTGAGTGACATGACTGTGGACATGCATGTGCCCACATGTCCACACACGAGAACGCAGACACGCACGAGTGTGCAAATAAATGCGAATCCACGAGCTCGAAACAAATATGAACCCTGCAGAGCACTGTGACACGCACGCGCAGACACAAACACACATACACAACGCGCGCACATTATACTAATCCTTGCAAATGCCACAGTGCTGCTTGTGAAAAGAGAAAGGGGGTGAAAATGTGTTCCAAGCGAACATCCACAGCATGTCCCACAGCGGAATAAACAAACCATTCTTAATTGGTGTCGATTTGGAATGGAGTGATGATTCATCATGCAGAACTCCCCAGTAGAGTATTGGAAACCCAATCATTTCTAATCCATATGACCTTGACAGAGGGCCAGAGTCAGGCTGTAACTCCTTCCACATGCATTGTCCGACAGACAAAGTCGAGGCATTGTAACTGACTTTACAACACGTCGGAATTGTAATGCACCAAAGTCAGATCACTTCACTGATTACTCCATCTCAGCCAGCGGCAAATCTTTATGAAGCACTCAATTCTCCACAGCAGTCATAAATCAGGGTACTATAAGCTTTCCGTCTCGATGATGGCACACCAGAGACACTATTTCCATACCACGTTGCTCCAGTCAATAATTCCTATTCCCAGTCCGTCTACCAGCGCTGCTCTTGACTTAAAGAAGTCCACTGGTGGTACCTCAGCTCACCTCCACGTCCCCAGCGGTTCTTCCATGTGCAACTTTGATCGGTAACTCTGTGGCTTTTCTCAAGGAGAAGCAGGTCATCTGTGAAGGGGTCCTGCTCTTTACTAGCTGGTGCAGTAAATGAGCCTAATTAACACATCTTCCTTCCTATCTTAACCAGGCATCCAGGGTCCAACCGGAGTCTTATTATAGAGTAGATTATGCATGTAATGTCCCCGCTGAGATTATAGTATGGAAAGCATTTACGGAGGTGTGCGTATATATATGCGCCGTGCACAAGAGGACAAGGCCGTGTGAATACGGGAAGACGGGCTGGAATAGCAGAGAGAATGAGCGGCTGCTTGGTATTCCGCCTGGAACATATAATAGATGGTGGAGGGAGATATAGATACAAAGACGGCGCCGAAGAGAGAAAAGGGGAGGAAAGAGATGTGTCTTCAGCACCACCTGCAGACTCGACTGGCGGCCATCTTGCGGTCAATGAGGTGAGTGCAGCCACCGCCCTGGGTCAGCATTAACACAGACCAATGACAAGTCGGCGCCTGCCCTCTATTGCAACAACATCTTGCCGTTCCACTCCACCGACCGCACCTATCACACCAATCACGGCACGCACGCATGCATATGCTTTCGCGCTCTTCTACCGCTTTCTGTCTGTCTCCTCTCTTTCTTAAAATCACACACACACACACATATGCGCACACACACACACACACCGGGAGAAACTTAACAAATGTGGGAACAGATGCCCCACATCAGACTGCAGTTGCCCTCTGCTCCCCGAGTGCCTCCAGAGAGACAGAGGAATACCGCTAACGAAGATAAGACACCGCAGTCCTTTGCTGTCTCAACACATGCCTACGGTGAAAACACACACACACACACACACACACACACATTTCTGAGTCATTTGTTAATGTCCATATCGGTACACAGCCAGAGAGATGGAATCAGAATTTGTGTAAGACCTGATACCTGCTGTATTCGCTCACTCCTTCTCCCAATCACATCTTCCCTCTCCTCTCGGTGAAAACACATCGAACCGGTCCTTCCTCATTATTTCTTCTGGGGACATGATTTCCCTTCATCCAGGCTGCCGTTGCCCTCTCCTCACTTATTGAACTCAAGTAGCTTCTTTGATAGATGAAGAGGAAAACAGGATTTCCAGTGACCCTCTTGCACCCAGACATTGAACTGGAGCAGAAAAAAAGACTATTTTTTGCCGTGAGGCTCAATTCAATCTCTTTAATGTAAAGGTCTCTCTCTTGCGGGCAACATCAGATGTAAAAATGATGCAAAGATATTTGCGACTATACACATAATTTTGCAGTTCAGCTCGGCTGTGATTGATTATTGAGCAGGCTCCGTTTTATCAAGAAGAATTTGTAAGCGCTTGTATTTGACATTCACCATGAACCAGGAGCCCTTTTCAGCTTCTTCCAAAGAGGATGGATTTTAGACTAAAATGCTGTTGACTTGATGTTGTTTACCTCACTTTCCAGATCAGTGTCACGCATCCAAATTGGTATTTCCGACAACAGCTCATGGCTTCGGTTGGAGACTTCAATTGGGGATAGCTTAAGGCCATTATAACTCTGGAAGTGGAGAGAGCGGCTAACGCTGTCGGTACAATCCTCAGGTTAACTTCATAAAGCATTCCTAGCTTGGAGTGAGGTCTGCTCTGCCATATATTTACCAGAAGCAACAGCTTGACTTGTATTGTTTTTGCCTTGTGAGGCTGCCAGTGTGTGTGAGTGTGTGTTATTATGGCAAAACGTGGTCGTGGAGAAACCGACTGCAGCAGGAATTCGGCAAATATGGTTCTGAATACGTTGGCAGGTGTTTATGCAAACACTGTTCCTGGGTTGTTTTTTCCCTCCTGTTACATTTTTATGCTCATTTTTCACAGCAATATAAAGTCCTGCACCGCTGTAAACAGCACAGCCACGGCCGGGAGTAGAGGGAACTCAAAATGGGTTTTTTTTGTGCAGAAAAATAAACTTAAAATTACATAAATCATAAAAATGGAAAGCTGAATTTCACTGATTATTTATTTTTACAAAAAAATGAGTAAACCTAGAATACTGGGAAAAAATGGTGACTGTGCATACTAAAGATATTTTATTATTGAACAAACAAGTTAGCGGCGCGGAGGGACGCTGCAGCCCACAGCTCCTCAAGTTTTGGCAGCTTTTTTTATTCGTCTTTTTTCTTACATCTTTGCCAGACTGCTAGCCTACTGCGGTAAATTCTGTAGTCTCTACTGTAAATACCTCCTTTACTTCATAGTCTTTGCTTCAGTATTTTTACATTTTGTACTTTATATATATATTTATCTTTCCTTTCATGTTAGTTTTTTACTTGTGTATTGCTGCCACAGAGGATGCTACAACAATATTTCACTGCTGTATCACTGTCTTTTAAACATTGCCTTTACAGTGACAATAAATACCTACTCACTTCTATTCTATTCTATTCCTGCAGACATTTTTCTAGAAAAATTTTGCCATTCTTGTGTGTTCTACTGCAGTTTAGCTGAAAAGTCCCTGAATTTTTGCTCCTTGACTGTTGGCTTCAACTGAGTTAGTCATAGCTTTCCAGTTGCGCCACGAAGCACAACATTTTTTTTGTTTGTTTTTTATTCAGATTGTTGTTAACAAAAACTGTTGATTTTTAGCAAGTTTTTAATGAGACTTGTAGAATAAAGGGATTTTGATGAAGTACCACAATTGGATGGATCAGGGGTCGGCAACC